TATTATTCAGTTATTTTATTCAAAAGTATGTGTCCAGCTCCTTGTAAAAGTTCTTTGTATTTTTTTATTTTTTTGTCCGTTGCCAATAAGTCTGTATTAAAATCTCCGAATACGATAGCTCTTTTTCTTTGTTGTAACTTAAGTACACTGCGATCTCCTAATAAATAAAAAAGAGCTTTTCGATGCGATACTTATCAAATTGAGTTTTTAGAAGTAATGCTAACATTTTTCAGCTACTTAAAATCAATAAGAAGTGATAGGCAGAAAGACGTTACAAATAGCATAAATTATAAAATAAATAAAATAAGTGTGCAAACTGATAGACTGTTGACTGATAGAACAAGACAAGATCAATCTGATTAAAAAGTCAAGTCAAGCCAAAAAAGGGATTGGAGTCGGTGCAACTGAATCTTCATCCTCATTCTCAAATTTCATCGAATATTCTAATTCAACCTGGTAGTAGCTATTCTGTGGATCTTGCTGATGAGTTCTATGAAACCAAGCAGCGCCTGCCTCATACCTTAACATCAGACATTGGATTATATGAAAGTGACAGCTTCTGGACGCGTGTGTCGACAGATTGTAAAAATATTGTTCCGACAGTAATCAATGAAGTAGTCTCCAAAATTGTAAATTGTAAAGAAATTAGTGACGTGGAATATATATATATATTTTTTAATTAAGGATTGAAAACTGTTACAGAAAGTGTTTATAGGAAGTTTATTACATTGTTAATTCAATGCTGGGTGCTTAATATAAGTACCTAAAAGCTTATTTAATTGTGTACAAGCAAAGTAATACTATTAGATATGTGATTTTTAAGTGATTTTTGTAGTAATTTTTATCAATAAGTATATTTTCTGCGATTAAGCTAGATCTCAGGTTTTTTTAAGTTGCTACAATGTTAGTTTAAGACTATTATTTTTAACTACATCTAATATAATAATTTAACGCTTCCTACCAAAATTGTTTTATAAGTGTGCCGTGTAGTGGCGGTTAAGAATATCCACTACCCCATATCTTCCCGTGGGTGTCGTAAAAGGCGACAAAGGGAAACAGGCAGGAGATGGGCAGCAGCATCTTCCTGGTAACGACAAAATACAATAAAAAACTGCGGTTGCCAACCCGCTCGCCAAGCGTGGCAACTATGGCAATATACCCCCCATAATGAAAGTTACGAAGAGCCGGCCCCCAGTCCCCGGCGGCCCCGCTATTCCTGGCTACGGTGGCGACCATGGTAACGGCGGGGCAGGGGGTGCTAAGAATCTCCGGTGGAGGTTCGGTTGCCACCTACAACGACTCGACCTGGCAACATACAACGCACGCACCCTGAGGACTGACGAGAAGATTGTGGAGCTGGAAGAAGAGATAGACAAGTTACACTGGCATATTATAGGATTATCCGAAGTCCGAAGAGAGGGGGAGGACACGGTAATCCTCGAATCCGGCAACTTGATCTATCACCGGGAGGGCGACCATCTGTCCCAAGGAGGTGTCGGATTTATCGTCCACAAGTCTCTCGTTAACAACGTTGTAAAGATTGAGAGTGTGTCGACGAGGGTTGCGTACCTTATACTCAGAATCACCAAACGGTATTCGCTGAAGGTCATACAGGTTTACGCACCAACCTCGGCACACCCCGATCAGGAGGTGGAGGAAATGTATGAGGATATCTCTAGAGCCATGCATTCCTCCAAAACCCAATATACGGTGTTAATGGGAGACTTCAATGCAAAACTAGGCACAAGAGAGAACGGTGAGCTGAAAGTGGGGAAATTTGGAATAGGGCAACGGAACCCAAGGAGCCAGCAGTTGGCCGACTTCATGGAGAAAGAGGGACTCTTTATGATGAACTCTTTCTTCCAGAAGCGGCCCCACAGGAAGTGGACCTGGTCGAGCCCCGACGGTTCGACAAAAAAATGAGATTGACTTCATTATGACGACCAGACGACAACTGTTCAGTGATGTCTCAGTGATCGCGAGGGTGAAAACCGGCAGCGATCACCGAATGGTTAGAGGCACACTGAACGTAAACGTTAAGTTGGAGAGGTCTCGTCTAATGAAGTCAACGCTCCGTCCCCCTCGTGCTCTAATCCAAAGTCCCGAAACCTTTCAGCTCGAGTTGCAAAACCGTTTTCAGTGCCTAGAAGACTGCAATGAAGTGGACGATTTGAATGACAAGCTCGTGGAAACTGTCCATGCGGTCGGAGCTAAGTTCTGCAAGACCCGCCGCAGAAGAACACAAAAACTCTCCGATCACACTCTTAATCTCATGGCTGTTAGACGGGAGATGAAGCTACATTCTTCAACAGATTTGACAGCATACAGGCAACTGAACAGACAGATCTCCAAATGCATGCGGCGGGACTTACGCAACTTCAATACAGCTCGTATTGAAGAAGCGATCGAGCGGAACCAAGGCTCCAAAGTCTTTGCCAGAGATCTGTCTGCCAGAAAGAGCCAACTGTCAAAGCTGAAGACCGAATGTGGCAGCATCGTTTCCGGGGCACCTGAGATTTTGAGTGAGATTGAGAGGTTCTATGGGCAGCTGTACACGTCATCGTTGGAGCCACACGCAAGTGTGAGTAACGATCCAAGAGCGAGTCTTATCCGACATTATTCCGATGATATCCCGGACGTCAGTCTGAGCGAGATTAGAATGGCTCTCCAGCACCTTAAAAACGGCAAGGCCCCAGGCCAGGATGGAATTACAGCGGAGCTTCTGAAAGCGGGTGGAAAACCGGTACTTGAAGTCCTTCAGAAGCTCTTTAATTCCGTCCTCCATGGTGGCATTACACCGGAGGCGTGGAGCAGAAGTGCGGTGGTCTTGTTCTTCAAGAAAGGCGACAACGCTCTCTTGAAGAACTACAGACCGATTTCCCTTCTGAGCCGCGTCTACGTGCTGTTTTCGAGAGTCGTTACGAATCGTCTCGCGCGCAGACTTGACGACTTCCAGCCTCCCGAACAAGCCGGTTTCCGAAAAGGCTTTAGCACCATAGACCACATACATACCCTTCGGCAAATTGTACAGAAGTCCTAGGAGTACAATTTGCCACTATGTCTGGCGTATGTGGACTATGAGAAAGCCTTTGATTCCGTCGAAATTTGGGCGGTGCTGCAGTCCCTTCAGCGATGCCAAGTTGACTGTCGGTATATCGAAGTGTTGAAGTGCTTGTACAGTAGGGCTACGATGGCTATCCGAGTACAGAACCAGAGTACGAAACCTATCCAATTGCAGAGAGGTGTAAGACAGGGTGACGTCATATCCCCGAAACTCTTCACCGCTGCATTGGAAGACGTTTTCAAGCTTCTGGACTGGAAAGGATACGGTATCAACATCAATGGCGAGTACATCACTCACCTTCGATTTGCCGACGATATAGTCCTTATGGCAGATTCGCTGGAGGACCTAAGCACTATGCTCAATGACCTCAATAGTGTTTCCCAACGGATAGGTCTTAAGATGAACATGGACAAAACAAAGATCATGTTTAATGTCCATGTCACACCTATGCCGGTAGTTGTTGGGAACACTAAGCTCGAAGTTGTTGACGAGTATGTTTACCTGGGACAAATATTCCGACTAGGTAAGTCCAACTTCGACCGAGAGGTCAATCGACGGATTCAACTCGGTTGGGCAGCGTTCGGGAAATTACGGCACATCTTCTCGTCAGGTATACCTCAAAACTTGAAAACGAAACTGTACACCCAGTGCGTGTTGCCAGTGATGACATACGGAACTGAGACGTGGTCCTTCACTGCTGGCCGGATGAGGAAGCTCAAGGTCGCTCAGCGAGCTATGGAGAGGGCTATGCTCGGAGTTTCTCTGCGTGATAAACTCAGAAATGAGGATATCCGCAGTAGAACCAGAGTGACCGACATAGCCCAACGGATTAGTAAGCTGAAGTGGCAATGGGCCGGCCATATGGCTCGAAGAACCGACAACCGATGGGGAAGAAAGGTTCTCGAGTGGCAGCCTCGTACCGGCAGGCGAAGTGTAGGGCGTCCCCCCACGAGATGGAGTGACGACCTGGTAAGATTTGCAGGAAGTCGATGGATGCAGGTGGCTCAGGACCGTGCTTTGTGGCATTCTTTGGGGGAGGCCTATGTTCAGCAGTGGACTTGTGAAGGGCTGTAATGATGATGAATGATGATAAAAATATTGATTGCGGTGGATACCATTTAAAAAAAATTAAATCCCTTCTTAACCATTCCGTTTATACGATTCCCTCTAGTAATAACGATGCGCAACATCTCCCTCGTGCTCTAATCCAAAGCCCCAAAAACTTTCAGCTCGAATTAAAAATTCATGTCGAATTCGAACGTTTAATTGCACTGCCTGCGTGCACTACTCATTCCCTCTCGGTAATGTCTCGAAGAGCGGGAATCGCGGTAAGGATTGTTTGATACGAATTGATTTATTGTGGTTTATTTTGATTTTTAAATTTAATAATTGGTGCTTTTGCATACCCTTTGAAATACGCCCGGGGCATGTGCCCCACCCTAGTTTCGCCAGTGCTGCCAATCATTCACAATGCAGCCTATGGGTCAATTACACGAAAAAATCTTACGACGCCCTACGAAATTGTAATAATTAAATTTAAATTAAATTATTTATTTATTTTTATGTAATTGATATAAAATTGACATCATAACTTAGATTTAATATTTTAATTTCTATGTGTATCTATGACATGATATGAACTAGTTCCGAAATAAATGATTTTTAATTTTACATAATTTAATTGTGTGTAGTATTAAAATATATATTTATTTCAATGCAGTGTAAAGTATTACAAATGCAAAAGATAAAAGTAGAGTAACGTTAATAAATTTATTATAATATACCTATTACAGATTTAATATTATATCTAATATGGTATTGGAATAAACACTCACAAAATACATCGAATTGATATAATTATTGACAGAATTAAACCTTATGTAGGTTTTTATATAATGTTGCTTTTAATTAATTATAATCTCATCTTGCTGTCATGTTACTCTGCAATTTCGATACAACCAGCGTTCCTTGGCCAGTCACAAATCTGTTAAGGAAAAAATTATAAAATTTTCTACTTCTCTACAAACGAATATGTTATCATAATATTTCATTTCTTTAATTGGGGGGGGGGGGTATATTTTTCCCCAAAATAGTGATCTTGCTGTAACATTTTTGATAATGCAATCATCCGACGAGTGGCGAATGACTCTGATCACAACTAAAAAGTGAAAAATTTATCTAAAAATACCAAACACAAGTTCCACAGATTAGTGCTGGGGAGCAGTATTGCCAGTGCGAGAATAGCAACTCTGCACTCAACAACAATGGTACATTGTTACAGTTTGCTTGTAAATTTTTGATAATACAGTACAATATAAAACAATGTGTACAACAATGAACTTTAAAGTCTATAGTTATTGAAAAGAAGTTGCTCTATACAAGTCCATAATCGTGCATGAACGATTATCTAATAATATATAAAATTTAAAATTTAACTATCTAATAATAACATTTTTTTATAGTTTTCATAGAACAAACAGGGATTTGTTAGTCTAATGGAATATCGTACCTGAAGCTTCCTGTTAAAATGCAACCAAAACGGACACCGTCTGACTTCTCTCTCACCCTGCACGCAATAATAAAATAGACTGCAACTTGTCTCGTGAGGCAGCAGCCAATGTATTTCACGATTTACCGGGCAACCATTTGGAAGAAATTCTATAATAGGGAAGACAGGTCTTTCAGTTTGCACAGTTTCCTCAGGTTCTTTCTCATCTTCGTCTTTATCGGATTCGGGAGAAGTTTCTACTTCTTCGCTCTTCCCGTCAACTGGCTTTGAATCTTCAAGAGTAGTTCTATCTCCACAATCAACATCTGCCCTCCAATTGCAAGCCTGTTCGTTTATGCTGAAATAAAGCTCATTTGGACATGACATCTCCACCGGCTGGCCATGCACACATTGATAGAACTTGTAACAATCCCTATGTGGTAACAACAGTTCAATATTCGAATCAATGTCTTGTATTTTAGGACACAGGTTTTCTGAATTAGCCGCTGCGGCAATTGTCAGTAAAATAATTGATAGGACTGTAACAAATATTAAACGAATTAATAAAAAGTTCAAAATTATTTCAAAGAAATATAATTGCAATAATTATGAACTCATCTACCTTTCATGATTTCTCGTTTAACAACGCTTCACTTCTAATTGATGTCTGATAAGGGTAGCAAACAGTTTTATACCCCACCGTGTTAGTCATTGCAGTACGTCTTTATAGAACTTATCATTTTTCTATGTGTGATTATTATGATAAAATCTTTATGGCGTGTTATTGGCATTATAATCGTATGTTTTCTTTTAAAAGAGACAAAGACAGTAAAATTTCTTATAATTGCTTACTCATAAAATGTTGTTGATGATACTTATGTGTTTGTATTTGATCTAAGCGAAGAGTTCCGTGAGTCATTATAAACTACCACATAATCTAAAAAGATGTCATGTTTATTGTTACTATCAAGGAAATTATTTGTAAGTAACGTAAAAAAGTTTATAAAACATTCCGTATTAAATATCCACTTTCACCAATTTTCAAGAAGGCAGGTTTCAATTTATTAATTATATATATATATATACTAGCTGACCAGGCAGACGTTGTTCTGCCCTTTGTGACGACCCTTCATATAAAAAATCCTTAAATTCGTAATAAAAAAATATTTAGTATCACTTATCAGGTTAAAAACTATCCTATCTCTCATGTTGGGCCAAACTGCACAGTGTGCAAATTTCATTGAAATCAGATCAGTAGTTTAGGAGTTCTTCGCGGACAAGCAATGTGACACGTAATTTTTATATATAAAGATATATAGTATAATTATAGTGTATTGTATGTACATGGGGTACTCTGAAAGTTTTACGTACTTAAGTAATAAATAATTATATATTTATTGCTTTTCTCTACATTACATTACATTACAAAATAAAGTTAGTAAAGCAAAATTCTGGAAAATAATTGAGTTCCATAAGGCCAGCGCCAGCACTTCTGTATGACAGGCATGAAACAGCGGCATTTACTGGTAGTTTCCGATATATGGCAACGATGAGTTGGAATAACATCCCACCACCAATAACAAATCTTAGCACCAATTATAATTTTAATAATAAATTTAAAACATATCCTGTCTAGATAAACAAAAACACTTCGTTTGTCAGCTATAAACCATGGCATTTTCATTCTACTATCTCATCATGGCTGTCTAAACCATTTAGGGACTGGCTTTAACTTGTATGCAATTTTTAACACTTACACATCCTTTCAGTAATTTTAATAAATTGAACCCAAGATGCAAGTCGCAGGGCTGAAAGGACATACAATTCATACATATTTACACTAATCATACTATTGTGCGCATTTTCGTCTCGTCATCACGAGGTTAATAGCTGAAAATCAGTGTTCTTACTCTCTGCGAAATTTTAATGCCTGAGCCAGGACCCATTTGTTAAACTGCAAAACACACGTACATTTGGATCTTAAGATTATGTAACTTTTTCTTTGTAATACGTTACTTTATACCTGTAGTCCACGGGCCCACATACAAGGGGTTTCAGTGATTAATAACAGGCTGAAAGATTATACACAGCTTCTTTTGACGAGACACCCAACTTTTATCATTGGACCAAATTCTGATAGTGGGAGGAAAAAGCGCGATAGGGCAACACGTCGATTTTATGAGTGTCCCAAATTAAATAATAACAGTTTCTAAAAATCAATACTTCGAGAAAATACGATAGAAAACTCAGAAAATCTTGTGGCATACAAAGTGAATGGTACCTTCCGAGTGACCCCCAGCTCTAACATGTCAGAATGGTGACTTGATAAAATGTATTAATAACAAACTGATTTTTGTTTTGGGGCTTGCAAAATATAAATTTTTTTAAAAAAATGCATCGGCATACAAATTTTTTGGTAATTTTTTTGAGACCTACACTCGAAAGTTGTCAAGATTATGTAAATCTTTTTTTGATTAATATCCGTATGCCACGAAAAATCTATACATATAATAAATCTGTAGAAAAGTCGTGTCTGTAATTGTAATATATTCTTGAAAAAACAATTCCAGGGGACTAAATAAAGGGTTCTGAAGCCAAATTAGTGGTTTTTAGAATTTTTGTCTGTCTGTCTGTCTGTCTTTCTGTCTGTCTGTATGTCTGTGTATTCCGGATTCACGCAAAAACTACTGAACCGGTTTACATGAGATTTTGTATGTAGGTAGTCAGTAACCCGGGGCAACTTATAGGCTACTTTTTATCCGATTACGGAACTTCAAAAAAAGAAAGTTAAGTATATTAATTTCCTTTAGATGTTAATTTTCTGTTGTATCTTAGTTATAGGCGGAATGACGGGTGTTTTCAAATAAATACCATATTACTATATTTATAAATAAAGTTTAAAATATAGTTATAATCTTGGTAAAATAATTTGAAACTACACCGATTTCGTATTCAAAACAGCGCATCTATCATCAAATGGAAAAAGTTGTATATTTTGCCTTCAGTTACTAATAAATAAAATAATATAAATAACTTACATTTATATGATTAAATTATTAGATTTTTAAAATTATTAAAACATTGTAACGTTCAGTTTTTTAGTATTTTGTTATTTTATTTTAAAAGTGTAATAATTTCAATAGATAATAGTGATGTCTATCAAAAATATGAAAATTGATAAGGTATTTATTTCAATTACTAATATATATATGTAAAGTGATAAAAACTGCTCTGTCTGCAATTATGCAGAATTTTCATTATCATCATAGTTTTATTAAAGAGTTTTATGTAAGTCGTGGCCAGACCGTAGAATTGATCATATATCATAAAGTAGTCTCATTATAGTAGTATCATTTCGTGAATACACTGAAAAAAGGACTGAAATGAATGTGTATTTAACACTATTTGATGACCGATATAGCTTGACCAAATCAATGAATAGATAAATCTTTTGAAGTTATTAGTAACTAAACACAACGTTGCTATTTCATAATATGGTCATATGACGATGTCATTGTCGTTTTTCGCCGCTAGCGGCGCTGATAGCTTATTTTTAACAGAAACAGAACTTTTAAGAGAATTGACATCACTTTATCCCTTATTGATGTGATATAATAAATAAATGTTCGTTTCTATTGCTGATATTACTAGATGCTATAGTTTTGGCTTTCATTATTTCATGTAATATTAGCGCCACCTACTTACTTCTAAATAAATTAAAATGGCAAGACATTGATAAAATGAAATAATACAATGCTACTGAATATACGATGTAAATAATTGAATCATTTACATTACGTTCATCCCGCGTTGGAATCAGTGCAGCGAACTCTTTTTTGGCCATAAACTCTACAGCCTGTGCCAAGTAGTAGCATGTATGTAAGCTGCTTTTTTACTTTTCATGGGGCAATATATGCAGTTTCTATTTCATTCGTGTTTACGGGTATGATAATTTATGTTTTCACTCTACTGTAAATATTAAAGCTTGCAAAGATGAGTAGAACTCATTATCGTCAGCCTATCAAAAGTCCACTGAAATGAACATAGGCCTCCCCTATAAATTGTCAAGTAGCTGGATATTTGCTATAGAGGCGGGTTGGCAACCGCAGCTATTATTATTTTGATCTGTTGTCAAGAAGATGATGCAGATCATCCCATCTACTGTTTTTTTCCTATGTCGCCTCTTACGACGGGACGATATGATGTGTTGGATTTTCTTTCACCGCCACAACAGTGCAAACATTTTTCTACTCCCGTTCATGAGTGTAGTGTTCCTCACGTTCACTGTGTACAAAATTTATAAGAAATAAAAATAATTTTAAGGATTTTATTCGCGTTTAATTTTAACTTTTTAAATTCCCGATGGTTTGGGCAATTTATAGCAACCATGGTCACGGGAGGGGTGGGAGAACTGAGGTGTTTGACGACCTGATATCATAGTTAAAATAGAATAGTTAAAATGCAGTACTAGTTTGAATTTAATTTTATTAATCATGGAGTCCTTAGCAGATAGTAGCACTCAGCCATCTTCCCTATTAAAATTAGGATATTTTTAATTTCAATAGCCTCGCGAATCATCATTGGTAGGATTCGGTGTTCTATTGCAAGAATTTGTTGTATATAATGGTTGGGACGATACTAAACATGTTTACATACTTTAGACTTCCCGGAGCTTCGGTGCTTTCATTCGGTGAGGAGTCAAGATGCGTAAAAAACCCGTAACATTAGTTTTAATCCATGTGTGGTATTCATTATTATAGAACTGTATTTATGAAATTTTCAAGTCTACTCGAAGTAAATAAAAATATCTATATCTTTTTATGGTGCCAATCAATATTAAATAGGACCAATGATATGAATAAAATGTCTCAAATAAACATTATATTACTTTGTTAAAACTAAATTTACTTTAACTATGAATATATATATGTAAAGAGTAAAATATAAGTAATAATAATACATTTTGATTTCAAGACTATTTAACTTTCTTATGGATACATCGGAATCGGAAGACACGCCATATATAAAAAATAGTAGGAGTTTCTAGGCATATTATAAGTATATTCACGTGTTTCTGTAGCATGTTACCAATCATCTACGTCTAATAGTATTTTAGAATGAAAAAAAAATCTCTGACAGACATAGAGACATAGACACCGAGGTGACTCTAAAAGTGATTGAATATTTCTAAATTTGACACGGAACAGCATTTAATGATGTCCCTAAATTCAAGCGCACGCGAGCGAAGCCGCGGGTAAAAAGCTAGTTTATAATAATTCTATTCTCTATTCTTAATCTACACTTCTACACTACTATTATAAAGAGGAAAGATTTGTTTGTTTGTTTGAATTGAATAGTCTCCGAAACTGTTTGACCGATTTAAAAAATTCTTTCACCATTAGAATCCTACATTATTCCTGATGAACATAGGCTATAGAATATTTTCAAAAAGTTAGGGATCCGTATGAAAACTTCGTTAATGTAACCCAAGGTGTGAAAAAAATACCAAAAATAATCCTTATATCGCGTACGCTGCGGTAACTATTGATAATAGAACAAAGTAATGTACGTCAGTTTCATAGAGGATATCAATATCTACAAAAAAGGCTGCGATACCATATGTTTAACTATTACAGTTATGTCACAATAACTACTTTTTCAGGTTAAAATGTGAAATAGTAACGCCGGTACAAAATAGGCCACATTATTCGTATCATGCATCATTACCTGTATCATGCATAACCACCAATTACGTTAACCATGTAATTTTAGTAACATACTTCACTTTTTAAATCTTTGTTAATTCAGCAACCATCCGTCGTGATGTCTCTCTCGAAGTTCGCATGTCGCAAGGCGCAGATGCGTGATATACGCGGGGCACAGCTAGTCTAAATATACGAGTAATAAAAAACCTACAAAAAAAAACCTACAAAAAATTGGTATTTTTTTAGTTAACCTACAAAAACTAAAAATCGAATCATTTAATATCCAAAATGACTTTGTCTTATTCGCGGTGTGCGCCGTAGCAATATTACGTTACAATAAGATACGACTTCTTGGTCATTTTCCCTTAACTATTTCGCGACACTGGGCGAACAAATAATGTGGACAACTCAACATTAATTGTCTTTTTCTCATCTGGTGGGATATGCAGCAGTACCCGTCTGGAAGAAAAAAAAACGCAATCATTTTTCGCCCACTCTTCCAGGCTGCCTTAATTTTGTCGGTTTGTTGTCTGTCACCTTTGAACACCCATAAAGTAGACTGTTGCTTACTTTCCGAAATGTAACATAATATACATGTTTCATTTCCTGTCACAATATAATTCACAGCATTTAAATGTGCGTGATCATACTTTAACAATATTTTTTTACACCAATCAACTCAAGCCCTTTTTCGTCTTGGGTTAAGTTCATTAGGAATCCAGCGGCAACTTTAATTTTTCTGGGAATTTGGCTCATACCAATACCAAAACGTCCTCGAATCTCCTCATACGTGTTACACCGCTTTTCTTCAATTAGTCGCCTGATAGTAGCCACACTTTCCTCAGTGATCACAGTCGACGTTCACGGATCCATGATCAATTATGAATCATGGAGAGAAACAGGGCCACCACCAATGCCTTACGCTGCTCAAATTAAGTGTTTCCCGTTCAAACGCATTTCGAAGACAAGCGGTGCAACTTGCGGAGAGAGTAAACTTATTATAATGACGACAAACTTCAACTTGTGATAAAACAATGATAGCTAAGAATCTTCCTATCACAAGATGTCGTTAGTTGAAATTGAATTGAAGTTGTTTGTTACACAATATCATTTAATTGAGAAGTTAGTTTTAAATAAAAGTTTACCAGTTACTAGAGAATTATATTAAAATCCATGTAATAACTCTTTTTTTATTTTTCTTCTTTTAGGAATATCTATATTTTGGTATATTCATTTTTAATCTAATTAATAATAAAATAGCAGTTTAACACTGCTGTGTTTCGTATGGTGAGTGTAGAGAACCGGAGACCCTTTTTACTGGAAAAGAGGCATTCAATCTTAGTCCTCACGGGTGACAACGTATCTGCATTTTGATTCGCAAACGAGCATAAATGTAGATGTCTATGGGCCACAGCAACCACTTACCATCAGGTGGACTGTGTGTTCGTTTGTCACCCGATTCTATAAAAAATATTTCAAAGTGGCGCCGCCCAGGTGGCAGATAAATTCGTGGATGCCATCATTGACACACTACTTCCCGCCACTAATCTGATATGAGTTACTTAAGTATTAAAAAATACAATTTTCGAAATTTAAACATTTACGAGCAGCCAGGAACATTCAGTGTGTTTGCGTAGGGTGTAGGTGGTAGGGCTATTTTCTGCCCAGAACTCCGTCCAAGTAGGTATCATCATCTTACCTATTTCTGGCACAAAGTGAGCCCCTACATTCTCTATAGCATTGTGTCCTAAGTATTTTGTAAATGAGTCAAGCGTTTCCATGACTTATTTTTGGTTCCCATTTCAGAATGAAGGAAAAACTACAAACACATAGAAACTGTGAGTATCCATTTTTAAAGTTCTTTTGTCTTTGTAAAATGTTTTTCCCAATATAAATTGGATTCACTATTTCTTCACAAATTTTGAATTTTGATATTATATGTATCATGTATTTCATGCAGGATAATCATCTCGAAGTGATGAATTCATGATATCGAGGTAGGTTGCAAAGATATTGTCTCAGTCATGAAACATACATTAATTCGTACGTGGTAGGTACATGCTGCACGAATGGGTCGGCTCGACCGGGGAAGGACCACGCTCTCACAGAATATCAGAGTAAAATAACAGCTTAACGCTGCTGTGTTTCGTATGGTTAGTGTATGGAGTATATGGAAACGAGGCATTCCATATTAATCTTTACGGGTGACAGCGCATTGGTATTTTCATTCATAATCGAGGATAGATGTAGATGTCAATGGGCCACAGCATCCATTTACCATTAGGTGGACTGTGTGCTCGTTTGTCACCCTTACCCTATAAAAAAAAATACTATCGGTAATTAATCTATCCAGCGTTATGTTTCATTTAATCATTATAAGGTTTGGCAATTTTTATCCAAATGGTTTATTTAACTGGCAACGACAGAAGCGTTTACATCTGGTACTGCAATCTTAAATCTACCTGTGTGGTGCGGCGAATCATTATAATGCTGAAGGTTTTAAATTTGTATGAAACGAAATTGACTAAATCCATTATTGCTAATTTGTTTTAGCAAAAATAAAAATTTCTAGAAACTGTGAATCCATTACATATTAAGAAAAATATTTAAAAAAAACATAAGCACTTTAAAATATTTGCTCATGGTTTCTACTTGTAGTTTTTCCTTAAGTCTGAAATAAGGATTAAAAACCAAGGGATGGAAATACAATACTTAGGACACCATGCTATAGAGAACGATTGAGCTCATTTTGTAAGTTCCTCTAACATAGCTTTAGCGCTCAAGCTTTCCACATATTAACATGTTAATATAATTTTTAATTCGCTTAGTACTCTCGGTTTCTGCTTGCTGGGTTTTGTCCTGTATACGACACTACATGTTCACACACAAAGACGACGACGGCGGAGGCTTCGGGGGAGCGGCGGTGGCATAGGCCGTGCGCCCGCGGCTATCTTTACATCGACGGCACTTCGATCTCTAGCACAATCGCGAACCCGAATCTAAAACAATTTATTTTTGTAACCGCTCAACCAATAAATCTATTGATTATCGTACAGTTCACCTTTATTTACCGGCTCTAACACTACAAATATAAAAATTGATATTATTGTAAGTTTTTATTTGTATTTCATTTAATAACAAAGCGCAGTTGTGGGTGTATGTTTGCAGTTTTATTTTAAATTAAAGTGCAAAATTAGCATACAGTATATCGGACATCATTGGTAATACGCACTGATCGTACACGATTCTGAGGGATAGCGAACAAAACTATTTGTCCTAATTTCCCGAACGCGGCCAAGCTGAGTTCCATTCATTGGTCCTTTATGACCTCTTGATCGAAGGTGCACTCACCTTATCCGATATTTTGTCCTTGGTACACTACACATACTCATAAACAACTACAAGCGTAGTGTTCCCAACAACTCCCGGTATATGTGTAACATGGACGTTAGACATGATTTTTGTTTTGTCCATGTGCATTTTAAGACCTACCCTTTGGGAAACATTATTGGGATCATTAAGCGTAGCATATATTGAGTATTTTACTTTATGGAAGTTCACATGCGAGACGATTGGTAATAAATAGCTTTCGAAACGTGCACGTAAACGCTCAGAAGGGAAATTGGACTGTAATTCTTCAATCGCCTTATCACCCTTCTTGAGGAATAAAATTACCACAATTTTGCTCCACGTTTCCCAAGACGCGTCACTGTGAAAGACGGAATTGAATAGCTTCTGAAAGTCTTTAAGTATTTCCCCACCCGCTTTCAGCAGCTCTGTTGTTATTCCATCGGGTACGTTTTTTGACGATATGTTCTTACAGGTGTCCGTAAAAATCCTCGATCTCACTCAAAATCTCTGTTACTCCGGAACGACGCTGTAGCTGCCACCATCTGTCTTCAACTTTATCAATTGGCTTCTTGCAAAAGTTGATAGTCTTCGGAGTACTATATTATATTGTGTGTAGTTTTGAGACATTTATTTCTTTATTTCAGTGCAGTGTAAAGCTCAAATTGCGTATAAAATACAAGTGTGTTACTTGTGCTTTAGGTATTACAACTTAAAAAGATAACAGCAGTGTCACATTAACACATTTATTAAAAATAGACTTATTACGGCTTTAATAATCTAATATAATATTGGATAAACAATCATAAATTTTACATCGAACTGATAAAACTATTGACATATTTAAAACTATGTTATATAAAATTGCTTTTATTTGCTATAATCTCATCTTGCTGTCACGTTACTCTGCAAACTCGATACAACCAGAGTTTCTTGGCCAGTTACAAGCCTGTACAGAAAAAAACAGAATTGTCTTGAGGTACATTTTATGGGTGGGGAACGAGACTCTGATCACAACCAATGGTGAAAAATCTATCTAAAAATACCAAGCACCAGATCCATAGATTAGTGCTCGGGTGCAATATTGCCAGTGCGAGAATAGCAGCTCAACAACAATGCAACATTCTACAGTGAACTTGTACATTTTTAATAATATAGGCATATGTACGACAACGAACTTTAAAAGTCCATAGTTGTTCAAAAATGGTTGCTCCATAAAAGATGCGTTCATGCAAAATTATTTATAAGTTTCAAAGAACAAACAGAGATTTATTACTCTAATGGAATATCGTACCTGAAGCTTCCTGTTAAAATGCAACCAAAACGGACACCGTCTGACTTCTCTCTCACCCTGCACACAATAACAAAATAGACTGCAACTTTTCTCGTGAGGCAGCAGCCAATGTATTTCATGATTTACCGGACAACCATTTGGAAGAAATTCTATAATAGGGAAGACAGGCCTTTCCACTTCTTCGCTTTCCTCGTCATCTGGCTTCAAATCTTCAACAATTATTCTATCTTCGCAATCTACATGTGCCCTCCAGTCGCAAACCTGTTTGTTTATGCTGAAAAGAAGCCGCTTTGGACATGACATCTCCACCGGCTAGCCGTGCACACATTGATAGAACTTGTTGCAATGCTGATGTGGTAACAACAGTTCTATATTCCAATCAATTTCTTGTATTTTAGGACATAGGTTTTCTGAATTAGCCGCTGCGGCAATTGTCAGTAAAATAATTGATGCTGTAACAAATATTAAACGAATTAATAAAAAGTTTAAAAATTATTTCAAAGAAATATAATTGAAATAATTATGAAATCATTTACGTTTCATAATTTCTCGTTTAACAACGCTTCACTTCTAATTGATGTCTGATAAGGGTAGCAAACAGTTTTATACCCCACCGTGTTAGTCATTGTAGTACGTCTTTATAGAACTTATCATTTTTCTAAGTGTGATTATTATGACAAAATCTTTATGGCGTATTATTGGCATTATAATCGTGTTTTCTTTTAAAAGAGAAAAAAAAACAAAGCAAAATTTCTTATCTTTGCTTACTCATAGAATGCTGTTGATGATTCTATTTAGGGTTTAACATAGGGTTTTATTTATATTTTAAGTATTTCAGTATTTGAATATTTAAATGTAAAGTACTATATGCGCTGAATACTTTTATTTTTTTACTGTTTCCAACGTACACATCGATAAATTCCTCTAGGCCGAATTTCGGTCATTGCGGTTTGTCTCAACGGAGACTAGCTATTTACTGACATTGAAATATTATATAGCTTATTAAAAACAACTAAATATGTCTCGATGACATTTATTTGAATTAAAACTATTTCAATACAATCACAGCGGTGACACTCTCTGTACGTGAGAGTTCAAGCGCCGGTGATATTGAGATTCGTGTAGAATCTACTAATTAGTCTGTGATATTGAGCCAGAGCGTGTAACGCTAGGGTTGATACCGAACATACATACATACATATAATCACGCCTCTTTCCCGTGGGAATAGGCAGAGACCAGTTCTTTCCACTTGCTACGATCCTTGCATACTTGTTTTGCTTCGTCCACTTTCATTATTCCCTTCATACATGCTCTACGGTTTAGGGTACTCTTGACCTGGCCTTTTTTCAAGACGTCCCTGATTTGGTCTAGAAATGTCCGCCTAGGTCTACCCCTTCCAACACTTTCATTCACACTCGTCTTATACACTTTTTTCGTCAATCGTTCTTCATTCATTCTCTCGACATGGCCAAACCATCTCAGCATACCTTTCTCAATTTTTGTCACTACATCTTCTTTCAGACCACAACGTTTCCTTATCTCACTATTTCTTAGCCTGTCACTTAGTTTAACTCCTATCATACTTCTTAATGCTCTCATCTCAACTGCATTTATTCTGCTTTCATGTTTCTTCTGCCATACCCAAGTTTCACTTCCGTACATGAGTGTTGGAACCAACACCCCCTCATGCACAGCCAAACGAGCCTTGTTAGACACCTTCCGACTGCTCATAAAGGAGTGCAAAGCTCCATTCACCATGTTTCCTGCATTCACTCTTCTTTCGATATCACTCTCACACTTTCCATCTCTAGTAAACTTTGAACCCAGATACACAAATGGAATATTATAGACTTGTGCCAAAGAAGATACATAGTAGGTATATGTTATATAATGTAAACTTATGTATTTAGGTAGTGAAAGATACGGTCAATTTTAAATCAACTTTTATTAAATATCGTTAAAGATGGGGAATATTAAAGTTTCCGACAAAACAAAATATGCACGACAGTTAATGGTAATCTTAAATAATTAACCAACACTTAGTATTTCAGTACGCAATAATCAGTATTATTATTAAATATATAAAAGTGCAAATATATACTTTAAATCTATTACATATAATATTTTTTTTATATAGGATAAGGGTGACAAACGAGCACACAGTCCACCTGATGGTAAGTGGTTGCTGCGGCCCATAGACATCTACATCTATCCTCTATTACAAATCAAGATGTAGATGCGTTGTCACCCGTGAGGACTTAGATGAAATGCCTCATTTCCAGTAAAAAGGGCCTCCGGTCACCTGCACTCACCAAGCGCAACGCAGAGGTAAACCTCTACTTCACGCTGGTTTTCTGTGAGGTCGTGGTACCACCGCGGTTCGAGCCGGCCCATCCGTGCGACAGCAAAAGCTGCCGCGTGGCTTCACCACTATTAAAATATAAATATATAATATAAATGTGCCATACATATAAACAAATATTGTAACTAAATAAAGGTAGAATAATTATATATAAATGAATAGGCATTATTTTTGTATAATGCGCCGTCAGTTTGTGCTTGCGTGCGGTGCATGAGGTTAGAGAAACGAGACGTGAATTACTACGTACTAGCCCTCGGCCAGGGCAGTCGGCGACGGCCCGTTCCATGCCCAGCGCGCCTCTCAAGGCCCTGGCACACTTCCAACACTGAAAGTACGACACCTAGTCAAGCTATGCAGGGGCCGGAGGACGTTTCAAAAATACTAATTTTATTAATTAAAACATGTTTGATCGCCACAAGAACTCGCTTAAGACTAACTTAATATTCTATGCTTAAATACTAATGCACGTGAGCCCATACAGGAGCGCGGCAGTTTCCGTTTGTCCACTCAGCACGTGCCTGTGGTATACAATCAGAATTTTCTGCTGATGCGAACATCTAGGTGGATCTCGCCACCCGTAACACCTTACTCTTCAAGTTCAAAGTTCTCGTTTACAGGAGAACTCCGGATACAAAAATTAAACAAGTTTAAATGATACTTATGAACTAAGACAAAGGTTACAATAACAGTCCATACAATAAAGTGGTCCATAGACTAACACTTTTAATCACCACAACTGCCTTTTCACTTTCACGGTTTTTAATTTCACTTTTTTTTAATGCAACTGACAGAAATTTTAGGTCCGTAAGATCTATGCCTTCTAGGTTCAGCTGCGACGGGGATGATATCTCGAGGGATGAGTTTATTGCAGGTAGGTTAATAATAAGTAATATAGGGGATGAAATACTTTCATTTACCACAGGGTTACTTGTTAGATTAATATCATTCATTTTGGCTGTACAGTTATCGTCCAATGTTAAGATATATGCGCCATAAATTTTCTGCCTTGTTATTTCATTATTACAAATCTCAGAGAGTAAAATAGACTCCTTGGTGTAGAAAATCTATATGTTAGGTTGTATAAGCAGCCCTTACAGCTTCCAAAATGACTGGAACTTGGATGCATGAAGATATATTTTCAGCATAAGTCATCAGGTATGTGATGCAATCATCATAATTAGTTGGGATGTGTCTTCAGGACAGAGGTAACTGTATTCATCGGCTTCCTGATAAGGATGAGTAAGCAGTCTATTCGTAGACCCTTTCACTAAAAGTTACGGGAACTTTGTTAAAATGACAGTGGTAAGGTTATGGGATAGTACAAGGATAGAACTTATAATAAATATAAATGTCCTTAGTCACGTGAGGTATTTCCTAAAGATAAGTTATGCTATTTCCTTTTAAATAAGCTTAAGCTATTATAGTTCGCTCTATATTAACCAAATTTTCTAATTTAGGAGTGTATATTAGATTCCCCACTCTACCAATATTTTCAAGTAAAAACAACAACCTTTTAAACTCTATTACAGACTGACGTAAGATTCCTAATCTACTCAAAGCTAAATTGGTTTCTATCTCATTCAGTTTTATAAAGATATCCTGAAAGTTATGAATCAATTGGTTACATATACTTATAATCCGTATCTCAATATGATTAAAGTGTTCTGACTATACTACTTAAGTTATGTGGTAATAACGTAATGCCTTTATTAATTTTCACACGGGACACCTATTGGAACACCACGGGAAAAATATTTAAGAAGAGCTCTGACGACTTCGGGAGTCAACCTGTTAATTATTTCAGGGGCCTGTCCTAATTTGCTAAGTTAACAAATTAAATACATTTAGGTCATTGTGAAATATGTACGTTTCGCCGTACAAAAGCCATCGATTATTGTTAAGTAATAGTGACCTTTGGCTTAAAAGTTCATCAGTTCAAGATGTGTTATGTATTTCTTATTTCTCTACACAACTGTATAACATATTCACATTTACGAATAAATAATTTAATAAAATTTTCATCACTGTCAAATTTTGGAATAATACCAGAAAGTTCCGGTGTTATTTTAGGTATTTTTATTAAAGAATATTTATCATCATCATCATCATCATTACAGCCCTTCACATGTCCACTGCTGAACATAGGCCTCCCCCAAAGAATGCCACAAAGCACGGTCCTGAGCCACCTGCATCCATTGACTTCCTGCATGTCTTACCAGGTCGTCACTCCATCTCGTGGGGGGACGCCCTACACTTCGCCTACTGGTACGAGGCTGCCACTCGAGAACCTTTCTTCCCCATCGGTTGTCGGTTCTTCGAGCTATATGGCCGGCCCACTGCCATTTCAGCTTATATTATTAGTATTATTATTAGTAGTATTATAATTAGTAATTATAATTAGTTTAAATTAATAGTAATATTTATTAAAAATTTAAAACAAATTTCTTATATATAAATAAAAGAAATATTAACGCACTTCGTATACAGACAAAATTCAGCAAGCGAAAACCGAGACAATTAAGAGTATTCAACATTATGTTTCTCTGTGGAAAGCTGTAGCACTAAAGCTGTGTTAGAGGAATTTATGTATTTACTTTCTTTATTTATTTTATCCGGAACATCAACGGCTTTTATACATTTCACTTATTACAAAATTTTAAATCTACATAGCTATTAAAAGGTATTCACATAAGAAGTAACCACAGTTTTAAGTAAGTAAGCTTACAAAGTCCAAACGTGCTCACTAGCATTGTGTTCTTAGTATTGTTAACGAGTCAAACTGTTCCATACCTTATACCTTAATTCCCATTTCAGAGTTCACACTTAAGGAAAACCACAAGTAGTAACCACATGTTTAAAGAGCTTTTGCTTTTGAAAATGTTTTTCCCTAAATTTAATGAATTCACAATTCTTAGAAAATTTTACGTTGGCTAAAACAAATTAGTAATAATAGATTTAGTTAATTATGTAGCCGGTGAAAAAAAACGGGAGATCTCCCGCCGAGCAAGGTGGTCTGCCCGGGGAGCGGCCAACGCTCCGAGAGGTCCGAGAGGAGCTATTCTATATACATAAACTGTTTTTACTTCGCCACAATTATATTTTGTAAAAACTCTTCTTTAGACCGCTACTCATTTGCAGAAATCGCCACACAGGTGAATTGGCGATTGTAGTACAAGATGCAAATACTTTTCTCGTTGCCTAAATAAAACTAAACTAAACCTAACTAAACCTTTCTAACTAAACCTCGCCATTTTGATGGAAATTACCAAAGCTTATAACGATTAAAAGAAACAAACATTTGATAGGTCAATTAGCGATGAACGAAGGAACATCATGAGTTTAACACTTCGAGATTATTATCCTACGTAAAATGCATGATTGCGTGAATGCTATATTAACAACCTATCAGACAAAAAATAGACCATTTGTTTTATCAGTTTTAGGATATTTAAAAAAATCATAGTTTTTCGGATAAAATATAGCCAAGGTCACTCCCGTATTGGATTCCGGTGGCACCAATGAAATTATTAATTATAATTTTAAAAGCTCCTCTACCACGTGCTCGGCTGTGAAGGAAAACAGCATGAGGAAACCTGCATGTCTTAGAAATAATAAAAAAATGCACGTGAAGTTCGCCAACACGCATTGCGGCAGCGCAGCGGACATATCCTTGCCGTAAACTCTCTCAGAAAGAAGAGGAGGCCTGTGCCCAGCAGTGGGACGTATTATAGGCCGTAACTTTAACTTTTTTAACTTTAGATCACTTCTGGTAGTACTCTTTATTTGTTCGTCAAGTTTCATTACATCGTTTTAGCCATCCTAAAGATTGGCCCGGACAGACAAACCCGACAGATTAAAAATAAAGTTATTTAGTTCATCGATGTCCTACTAAATAATATAGTTAGACATTTTAAACCATTTTTTAGGTAACTGTAATTCACTGTAACGTCTAAAAGTCAGCAATCTTCTTGTAACAATTAATACATTTAAAAAACAGTGCTTGTATTGTACGCGCTTTAGAAGTTACAAATATTTCCGTCAATACAAGCGTTTTCAGACCAATGGGCTATGATACGAGTATGAACTAGTTCCGAAATAAATGATTTTGAATTTTACATAATTTAATTGTGTGTAGTTTTAAAATATATATTTATTTCAATGCAGTGTAAAGTATTACAAGTGATAAAGATAAAAGTAGAGTAGCGTTAATAAATTTATTAAAATATACCTATTACAGATTTAATATTATATCTAATATGATTTTGGAATAAACATTCACAAAATACATCGAATTGATATAATTATTGACAGAATTAAACCTTATGTAGTTTTTTATATAATGTTGCTTTTAATTAATTATAATCTCATCTTGCTGTCATGTTACTCTGCAAACTCGATACAACCAGCGTTCCTTGGCCAGTCACAAATCTGTTCAGGAAAAAATTATAAAATTTTCTACTTATCTACAAACGAATATGTTATCATAATATTTAATTTCTTTAATTGGGGGGGGGGGTATATTTTTCCCCAAAATAGTGATCTTGCTGTAACATTTTTGATAATGCAATCATCCGATGAGTGGCGAACGACTCTGATCACAACTAAAAAGTGAAAAATGTATCTAAAAATACCAAACACAAGTTCCACAGATTAGTGCTGGGGAGCAGTATTGCCAGTGCGAGAATAGCAACTCTGCACTCAACAACAATGGTACATTATTACAGTTTGCTTGTACATTTTTGATAATACAGTACAATATAAAATAATGTGTACAACAATGAACTTTAAAGTCTGTAGTTGTTGAAAAGAAGTTGCTCTATACAAGTCCATAATCGTGCATGAACGATTATCTAATAATATATAAAATTTAAAATTTAACTATCTAATAATAAATGATACATTTTTTTATAGTTTTCATAGAACAAACAGGGATTTGTTAGTCTAATGGAATATCGTACCTGAAGCTTCCTGTTAAAATGCAACCAAAACGGACACCTTCTGACTTCTCTCTCACCCTGCACACAATAATAAAATAGACTGCAACTTTTCTCGTGAGGCAGCAGCCAATGTATTTCACGATTTACCGGGCAACCATTTGGAAGAAATTCTATAATAGGGAAGACAGGTCTTTCAGTTTGCACAGTTTCCTCAGGTTCTTCCTCATCTTCGTCTCTATCGGATTCGGGAGAAGTTTCTACTTCTTCGCTCTTCCCGTCAACTGGCTTTGAATCTTCAAGAGTAGTTCTATCTCCACAATCAACATCTGCCCTCCAGTTGCAAGCCTGTTCGTTTATGCTGAAATAAAGCTCATTTGGACATGACATCTCCACCGGCTGGCCATGCACACATTGATAGAACTTGTGACAATCCCTATGTGGTAACAACAGTTCTATATCCGAATCAATTTCTTGTATTTTAGGACACAGGTTTTCTGAATTAGCCGCTGCGGCAATCGTCAGTAAAATAATTGGTAGGACTGTAACAAATATTAAACGAATTAATAAAAAGTTTAAAAATTAATTCAAAGAAATATAATTGCAATAATTATGAACTCATCTACCTTTCATGATTTCTCGTTTAACAACGCTTCACTTCTAATTGATGTCTGATAAGGGTAGCAAACAGTTTTATACCCCATCGTGTTAGTCATTGCAGTACCTACGTCTTTATAGGACTTATCATTTTTCTATGTGTGATTATTATGATAAAATCTTTATGGCGTGTTATTGGCATTATAATCGTATGTTTTCTTTTAAAAGAGACAAAGACATAGTAAAATTTCTTATAATTGCTTACTCATAAAATGTTGTTGATGATTCTTATGTGTTGGTATTTGATCTAACCGAAAAGTTCCGTGAGTCATTATAAACTACCACATAATCTAAAAAGATGTCATGTTTATTGTTACTATCAAGGAAATTATTTGTAAGTAACGTAAAAATGTTTATAAAACATTCCGTATTAAATATCCACTTTCACCAATTTCCAAGAAGGCAGGTTTCAATTTATTAATTATATATATATATATATATACTAGCTGACCAGGCAGACGTTGTTGACTGCTCTTTTTGACGACCCTTCATATAAAAAATCCTTAAATTCGTAATAAAAAATATTTAGTATCACTTATCAGGTTAAAAACTATCCTATCTCTCATGTTGGGCCAAACTGCACAGTGTACACATTTCATTGAAATCAGTTCAGTAGTTTAGGAGTTCTTCGCGGGCAAGCAATGTGACACGTAATTTTTATATATAAAGATATATTGTATAATTATAGTGTATTGTATGTACATGGGGTACTCTCAAAATTTTGCGTACTTAGGTAATGTAATCCTCTTGGGTAAAAAGTAATCCTCTACCACGTGCTCGGCTATGAAGGAAAACATCATGAGGAAACCTGCATGTCTTAGAAATAATAAAGAAATACACGTGAAGCTCGCCAACACTCATTGCGGCAGCGCGGCGGACATATCCTTGCCGTAAACCCTCTCAGAAAGAAGAGGAGGCCTGTGCCCAGCAATGGGACGTATTATAGGCCGTAACTTTAACTTTTTTTAACTTTAGATCACTTCTGGCAGTACTCTCTATTTGTTCGTCAAGTTTCATTACATTGTTTCAGCCATCCTAAAGATTGGCCCGAACAGACACACCCGACAGATTAAAAGTAAAGTTATTTAGTTCATCGATGTCCTACTAAATAATATAGTTAGATATTTTAAACCTTAACTGTAATTCACTGTAACGTCTAAAACTCAGCAACCTTCTTGTCACAATTAATACATTTAAAAAACAGTGCTTGTATTGTACGCGCTTTAGAAGTTACATATATTTCCGTCAATACAAGCCTTTTCAGACCAATAGCATATTGTCGCTACGCTACGATTACGATCGCTGATCTGCGTGTCAAGGGTGATCGATAAGGCAAATTGTTTCTAAAAAGAAGTGAGGTAGTCGTATTCGACAGCGAAATGTGGTGAAATATGTAGGAAAATTAATAAAATCTAATACCTCTGCCATACAAAGTTGTACATATCAGAAGCACTGGTATTAATAACATAAATCAACAGAAAATACTCGTTATACAAATTAAATGTTTACCAATGGAACTCAGACACCATACAATTGTAAACTTTAAACATCATCATCACTACAGCCTTTCAATGTCTACTGCTGAACAAACGTCTCGACGATTGATTGCCTCATATTTGACAAGCAATAAGTAGTAAGAAAAATGTATCTTGTGTTAAGTGATTGTACCGAACTATCACGCATTCGCATTAAATCGACTGAATGAAACGGAATTAAATAAAACGTTTATTCTTAACTAAAAACTAATCAAAAATATTCATTACCTAATGACAAATTTCACTTACATATCTACTGTAAACATTTGGACTTTTTAAACTAAATCACAATTAATTAAACAATTATAGTGCGTAATATTCACGAGAAAACTGTATTATACGTTATTTAACAAAAATACTCTCTTATATTTTTCACGTTGATTCTAAAAACGGATATTGGAACTCTTAAAATAAAAATAAAATGTACGGCATCAAGATCTTATAAAACACGATAAGTACGCCATACATTTTTTTCAATTTATTATAGTTTAATTATGGATTTTGATAACCCACTTGAAATATTTATCAAAATCCTTGCTAGGTACATATTGTAATTAATAATTATATGTAACAAATCACCAACGACACATAAAATTATTAAGAATTTTCATCAAATCAACAAATATGAACTACAAATAATGGTTAAGGGGCTACTCCGTGCGAACGACCTTGAGCATTTTGCCGGCGGCACGCCGCTCGCTTCATTTTCAACATCAATAAACTAATTTATGGAAATACACACAGCGTACAACGATAAATGTATTTTAATTTTTTTATTCGGTATATTAGTTGCATTATATTAGAATTATGTATTTTCATATATTATCTAATTATGAAATTTTATAATTAATTATATATTAAAAATGAAGCATTGAAAATTGTGAGTTTAAAAGATACCTTGTCGTGAAGCGACAATTAAAAACAAAAAAAAAGAACCTAACCTAGCAACAAAACAACAAAAATAGGGCAAAACAAATAATCTATTTAAAATATAAAAAAAAAATTTACAGATTTATATAAAAAAAAATGATGTACGAGGATGAAGATGGGTGATGTGATTTACAATTATTTCAAAAAAAAAGATAATAAAAATGATGGGTATTGAAGCTGAGGCCGAAGATCCAAGAGGTACACCGCTTTTGGTGGTGTTCTTCGCTGCCCACAGATTATACGCAGGCTGTGCTGGTGGTAGGCCCACAGCGCCTGGAACGAGCACGCACAGCGTAGGTGAAGGCGTGGGTGTGTCTAGGCGACGACTTCAGGTGAATGCAGAGGTTTGCAAGATCCGGCGTCTTCAGGCGAGACAGAGGCTTGCAGGATCCCAGCGACTTCAGGCAGGACAGAGGCTTGTAGGATCCGGCGAATTCAGGTAGGACAGAGGCTTGCAGGATCCGGCGACTTGTGGCAGGACAGAGGCTAGCAGGATCCGGCGACTTCATGCAGGGCAGAGGCTTGCAGGGTCCTGGAGACTTCAGGCAGGACAGAAGCTAGCAGGGTCCCGGCGGCTTCAGGCAGGACAGAGGCTTGCAGGATAAGGCCTTTAGGAGATTCTTCGAGTTTGAGAACCGAAGCGAGACTGCGTTTATTGACCGATTGTTCGGCTTTTATACCTTTTTAGAGAGAACGGAAAATTATTTAAATTAAAAGCAATTTTTTTGTAAATGGCCAAGAGGAAAGAGTATTTATGTGGAATTATCGAAGTAGAAACAACAGACCGGTAGCGAATTTTAATAAAAATTGCCATGACAACCAGATAAACAACGATGTCAAAACATGTCAAATTTTGGTTTTAGGCTCGTAATAGAGAAACGGCAAGATTTAAGTGAAAAATGAGATATTATTGATATAGGAATAAAGGTAGCGCACCAGCGCGCACTAAGCCCGAAATTGCAGAGTTACGGAGAACTAAATAAAAGATCGAAAAAGTAGACTCCATCGACACCGATTTAAAAAGTGCTGATAGCGTGAAAATACAAAGTGAAAATGATTTGTTATTGTGTTCTTATGGTTTAAATACGTTACAGGATCCTATAGAAATAAAGGTGATACAAAATATCCAGTTTTGAGGTGAATGCAGAAAATCAAAACAGAATGGAAAAATGAGTTTAAAATAGTGTAAAATGATATGTAAGTAGCATAACACTACATTTTCCCCCCGACCCTGGAAAATTTTTGACTCAGCAAAAATTTTGATATGTACATTCTAAAATAAACCATAAAAACACAGCTTTGCAGAAACAGACATCACCAGGCAAAATCAGATATACTATCTCTTACATTCATCATCTGCATTCAGGTAAGGGTGGAGTTCACATTCAATGACTACCACTCTAAAAGTGTGTTTTCGAAAGGACATTCAGGCTTATTTAAGGATTTTTCATCCGCTCCTGCGAGGAAAAAAAATTATTAAGGGAGTAGTCAGCCGCTCCCAAGTGAAGATAAAGATAAAGAAATTAATCTTAAGCAAGCTTTAGTCGCTATGACTTAAGTAAAGATTAAGAACGGCCAGAGCGGTAGGGCTCAAAGCCAGAGATCAGCAACATCACCAACGAGATGTGTCTGAAATAAAAATAAAAAGTGAAGATTAACCAACGAAAATTCGAGGTCCTAAAGCAAGATGTGTTGAAGAAAACTACTTACATATCATTTTTTTCGTACTTAATAACCCTTTTCATTGTTATAATTAAGTGCAAAGTTAAGTTTAAGAAATAAAAATTTATTTAAAAATTATACCTCTTTAAGTTATCTAGAATAAAAATATTAAAGTGATGAATGTAAGTGAAGTGTTAAATGTAGGTCTAAATATAATCCAGATAAGTTGAAAAACTAGATGAAGTTTTGTTTTAGAATTTGGAAGGTATGAAAAGGATGAATAAATAAAGAGTTAAGAAATTAAGAGAGAAAGAGAACTTTTACATTGGGCGCCAAAATGACGTGAAGCGACAATTAAAAACAAAAAAAGAACCTAACCTAGCAACAAAACAACAAAAATAGGGCAAAACAAATAATCTATTTAAAATATAAAAAAAAATATTTACAGATTAATATAAAAAAAAATGATGTATGAGGATGAAGATGGGTGATGTGATTTACAATTATTTCGAAAAAAAAAGATAATAAAAATGATGGGTATTGAAGCTGAGGCCGAAGATCCAAGAGGTACACCGCTTTTGGTGGTGTTCTTCGCTGCTCACAGAT